GTGAGAATGTAGGGAAACATTCTCATCTCTATTGGTAGGATTATAAAATTGAGTACAACCTTCTTTAGGGGACAATTTAGTGACATCTATCACTAACATAAATGCTGCTCATATACTACGAATCAAAATTTCATTCCTGTGAATCAACCCTAAAGAAATATTTGTTCATGTGCACAAAGATACACATGGAAGTGTCATTGCATCATCATTTATTATAGTAAAACAATAACTGAAATATCCAATAATAATGAATTATGGTGTAGGTTGCCTTTGAAGCCATTAGAATGAGGAAGACTTCTAATTTCCTACATGAAAAAATTCTAAGACAGAAAAATAAGTTACTTATTTATAGAATAACTCCAAATGTATGTTTAAAAAAACCCAACTATTAATAGTTATCCTAATAAACAAGAATACTTCTAGGATAGGGAAGAAGGGAAGGGGTGGGGATGGAGGAAGGATTTTTTTCTCTCTCCACGTTTGTGAATTATTTGAATTTTTATAGAGAGTGCATGCATTTGTTTTAACTTAAAATTTTTAAACATAATTCTGGTTCCACTGTGGAAGGCAATCGTAGATATGATAGCAGTTCTTAAGTAGAAAATTGCATGAAGAAGGATATTTCACTTTTTCAACTATGAAATGATCTTCTAATTTAAAAAAGGAGCTAATCATGAGGATTTTGTACTTTGTGGATCTTAGATGGCCTGTTCTTTTTATCAGAGTTACTACAATTGTCCAGGCAAAGGAGGATGAGATTCTAAAGTGCTGGAATGAGGATTGGAGAGAACGTGAAGAGACTTTTACGAAGAGAAAGTGACTGGATTTAGTAAAGGTGCTAGTTGTGGGGGAAAGTAGAATGCAGGCAGAATTGAGATGGAGGATATAGTAAGGAGCAGATTTAAGTATGAGGATGATGAATTGATAAGTTGACTATGTTGAGAACCTGTGGGAAATTCTCATTGATGCTCTTTAGCAGATGGTTTGAAAGTACAGTCTGGTACCCTGGAAGTCTTTGGCATTTAGATGACATTTACATTTTAAATCAATGTTGTTGGTAATTGAGATGACCAAAGGAACCCTGAGGGCCACTAACATGTAAGGAGTTACCAAAGCAGCCCCAAAGCCAACTGAAAAGACGTGTTGTTGAGCGTTGTAGCTAGCATTCCAAGGATGAAGATGATGCGAGTGGTCAGTAGTGCCACGCTCCAGGAAGTGGAAGGAAAATGAAACATTTAAATTTGTGCTACTGGAGACTTTGACAAGGATAGGTTATGGTAGAGAGCCCTCTAGTGGAAGGGAGCATAACATTTGAAGAACTGGAACAAGCCTGGTACAGTTGAAGCTTGGAAAATGTGAAGGAGGCTAAAAAGGCTTTTTCTTCCTTTGAATACAATGTGGTTACTTCCTTATGGGAAAGAAATTAATCAGGGTTAGTTTTATCTCTAAGTGTATGAGTGTTATATGTAAATTTTTCTTCTGCCCTGTGGAGGAGCTAAGGCTTGTGAACAATGACATTCTCTTCTGCAGTGAGAAGTAGCAAGGAAGTTAGGGAAATTTTCTCCTGAGGAAAAGTATCAAAGCTGACAGCTGACAGAAAGCGGAGCTGCAGGGGCTTTTGAAACCATGCTCGGCTGAAGTTCCAAACCAGCCCCAGAAGGATGAGTTAAAGGAGCCTTACCCATCAACAAGCTGCCAAGAGAAATCATTGTAAAATGTGTCGTTTTACGTATTTATTTTTTTTACTGTGCCTCTTCTAGAAAAACTACCTGCTTTATTACTTTGTTTTCTGCATTTATTATATGAAAAATGAGATTAAATTGATAGGGAAGAAGTTCTTTGTTTATTTCTTCTTCACAAAAAAGATGAGACTGGAGAATATTCTATTAACATACCACCTTCCTCTCCCTTTGCATTATTAAATTAATAATTGCACAGAGAAAATTGTGAAACAACATATGTATAAGCAGTTAACATTGCTTATCTCAGAGAATGGGTAAGGGAAGGCAGAAATTTACTTCTCTTTGCAACTCTTTGTTTAACTGGGTACAGTATTTATAAAACAACCAATAAAGTACTATATGTAGTATTTAGAGGGAAAAGCCAAAACTTAAATTAATACATGTTTACAGAAATGTGAAAATAATATAAAGGTAGAAATGTTGAAAGAGTCTACCATTCTAAATTCATATTGTGTATCTTCGGTATATATAAACTTTTGGTACTATATAAAACAGAATGTAGACTAAATATTATATTAATATAGTCATTAAAATATATACTTTTTCATTTATATCATGGGCATCTTTCCATATTGATACATATCCATTTACTTTATTTTTTTGAAACTACATAGAATTTTAAAAACATTTTTGGGGAAACTTTTAAAATTTAAATATGTACACAGAAAAATGTCCAGCTTAACAACTTTTAAAAAGTGAAGACACCCATATAACCACCCTCCAGATCAAGATAAGAGCAATGCTGGTCACCACGGAAATCTTCTTACTATT